ATAGCATGATATTTTGGCCTGCAGTCATCATACCCTCAAAATCTAATATTGTCAGGTCCAGAACGAATCGAATAATGTTTTAAGATCTCAGAATGGTAGACACCAGACAAAACTCCGTAACAAAAAAATATTTATTCGCACAAAAAACACAGACAAAGTAGAAACAGAAATTGCTGGTCAAAAATGACCAGGGAAAGAAAAACAACACTTTAACCAAAAGCGCTTGCAAAAGTCAAGGAAGAAATAAACCCGAGACTACCAAACAAAATGCCAAGAATCCAATTCACGCGATGCAAAAACAACTAACAAAACTAAGACTATACTTACAAAAACATAAAACCCAGAGAACCAGTACAAATACGACGAGGGCGAAAGGTCTCGAAAAATAATCACTTGAGCAACAGCAGTAGCAAGGTCAACAAAAATCCGACAAACCGTTGAAAGTTTGTCGGTCCTTAAATACATGGTTCCATAATGACAAAATTGGAAGCAGGCTGCACACTGCAGGATGGACTCCAGCCTGCCACCTGCTGGGGAAACAAGAACAGAAACATGACAAATATCTGAAGACGTTAGCTTCACTTGTTAACTGTACATACAGTAGTTCTTCCATCTCCCATTCTCACAATCTTTCCATGAACATAAAAAACTTGGTCAAGCTGTTACCAAACTTATCATGTGGAGTACAACCCAATGTTGCATTTTGTTTTGTAGCTGACTATTCATTTTCCGTAGGAAACAATAAACATTTCTTGCCAAAAAAAAAAAAAAAAAAAAAAAAAGGTGTTCCCCCCTCTGGGTACTCCGGTTTCCTTCCAAATTCCCAAAACATGCATGATAGGTTAATTGGACACCCTCAAATGTCCATAGGTGCCATTTTTTTTTCATGTGTGTGTGCCCTGCGATCGCCCGAAGACATCTGCCCGAAGATATCTGGGACCCTTGTGAGGATAGCTATTCAGATGATGACTCAATAGATGGGAGTAAAAAAAAAAAAGTTAGAGACATGAGCAACACAGCCTTCAACTCAGTTCCTTGAGTGAAGACCTCCTCTGGGTTTGCAACTCTTTAGTTCTCTTGATTTTCTCAATACCGAAAACAGTTGAAAAGGAGAAAAACAACTGCAGCAGAAAAACTCTTTTGCCAAAGGCGATATGCTTGAGCAGTTGCCTTGTCACAGCTTGACGAATGTTCCTGTGTCTGCGCAGATGCGTGGTTAAGACATGCACCTTGTCGGATGTGTATTGGCACACGTGTGCATTTGCTCTGCCTTACCACTGTAAGTTTTGAAAATGTTTACTGTTGTGCTCAGAATGGAAGGCTTAGCATCGGCCTCTTTTCTGATCTGCAGATTAGCCTGCAGTTGACTGCCCGCTCCAGTGCAGGATGAGCAAATACACACCTTCAAGCTCCCTTTGTTAAATGATCACTTGAAATCAGCCTTTTTTTGGTCCACCAGAAATATCCTCTTGATGATGTAACACTTTTCTGGCTAAATGGAGTCTGAATTCCAGGTGTGTGTGTGTGTGTGTGTGTGTGTGTGTGTGTGTGTGTGTGTGTGTTTGGGGGGGGGGGGGGGATGTGAACATTTAGTTTATATTGTGGCACCGTGATTTAAGAGTCCTCCCATCTATTATACAAGTTCCATCTGTGCTTAGTCTGTCATTTTTTTTAAGTTCCCTCTCACTCCTCATTCGCCAGCAAACTGGCCGTCCATCAGTGACGGACTGATGGACCTTCCGTCAGTACTGATGGAATGGCTTCCTCTGTGTAATACTGTCACACAGGTGAGCAAAATTGGCAAAATGTTACAATGGAATTATGAGTCAACTGTTTTGGGAGTTATTGACAAGAGGGTAGACACTATTGGATTGTCTGCTCTTTTATGCATAGTTTAGTCGCGGCAACTGTACCTATGTTGGCACAATTCAGGGGGACGCTGCTAATATAGTTACATAGAAATGCAACGTCATGTTTATTCTACAAATTACCCCACTTTTCACATTATTCGTATCATTCATGCACTTTATATTTGTTCTGTGGTGTCTGTTGCATGTTTAAGCGTGACCATTGTGACCATATCAAATCGTTGTTGTTTGGCTTATGGTGTTGGTGCTGCTCGTAAAGGTATATAAAAATGCACAGTAGATTCAAGTTTGTTGTGGTAGCATTTGGACAAATCCGTCAACCTCCCACACCCGGTCCGCAGAAGTTATAAACTTGCATGAACCTGCCCGTGGCGGAAAATGGGTTGGGGACCACTGCTGTAGACATAGTGTACTGTAGCTTAAAAAAAAAAAAAAAAAAAAAAAAAAAACCCATAAAATCTGAAGAAACATTTGGAGTCACAGCACGGTACCTTGAAGCTTACAGCAGTCCCAGCAGGTTGTGTGAAACAGAGCTGCGACTAATGCAGGATCCTTCAATATTTATCAACAATGCAATGTTACAAATAAATAAAACAAATGTTACATTTTATAGTTTGTCAGGTCAAAAATTTGTAGAGAGAAAATGGTCACTGATCCCTTCATCACTGATCCCTTAATGCACGTGAGGTGGTGGTGCTCGGTTGAGTCACATGGATGCAGGCCATTGAGCTGACTATTGTGCTACCCTGTTTGTGAGATACCCTTCTGACTTGCATTGTCCTGGATTTCCTCTGTATATTTTTTTTAACCGTCTCTCTGACAGCTGGTGCAGTCTCATATGTCAAGACTATTAAGTAAACCTTTCCAAGTGTACAATCAGTTCTAAGCAAGGATGGCTATTGAAACAGTTGAGAGAGAGTTGAAGGTGTCAGAAAGATGGAAGCATGAAAAGTATGTGTTTCAACATTTTTTCCTTTTATTGCATCGGGTCGCTATGAAAAGCCTTGACATTAGATTCAATAGTGAACTGTGCCATGCTCTCTGATTGCCTTTTGGTAGCCTGATTTACCCTCTTAGTTCAACTCAGTGTGGCTCTGACTTTCAGCAGTGCTGATGAAGCCCTGTCAGGTTTACCCGTGATTGCTGACACTTTCGCAGAGGTGGATCGAGTGTAACTTTAAACTGTCAACTGACGCTGTTACCTTTTTAACATCTCTTCCCCCTTTCCCCTCTGTGGGCTGTTGCCTCTTTTCCCGTCCCCCCGGGCTGTATGATGCTTGGCATCCAGAAGGCTTTGAATGTGAAGAGAACAGGTACATTGGATGAAAGTATCTTGGGATTGCAAATTCTTTTCGTTACTCTGTACTCTGACTTTTCTTCTCTACCGTGTGGTTAACTGGGATGTTGCAAATGAGCGGCAGCTCAACCACGTTGATGACATGGTTGGGCAAGATGGTGAGAGAACAGTCAGCCATGGAAACCAAGTGAGACCCATCAGAGTGGCAGAATAAAGGATTAAACTCTCAAAGAAAGCATCTTTATTTAATGTAACGCAGAACATGACACTTTTTACTGCAGTCGGAGCGGAAGTTGGCCAGGTTTTTCTTGTAATGCGCCGAATGTTGCTATGCCGCGGTCGTCCTTGCCCGGGTGGATAGATGGCGGGCGCACTTTCATAAAACAAAAGCACCAAGCACCATGGATTAGTTGATCTTGAATTCTCTTGAGGCTGCTCAATAGCCATGGTCCTCTACGTAACTGATTGCTTGCAGTTTAAACTGTGCTTTATAAGCGTGTCTCTTCAGAGGTGCCATTTTCGAGTTATTGTTTTCCACAAAACACGTTCCGGCACTATTTACACCTACTGGGGGCGTGCCTTTAGCGTCCTCTTTCACGCCCACCCTTTCCACTTTCACGTCTGCATGCTGTCCTCAGTTATGTCCACCATTCTTCTATATAAGCAATGTGTTGGCACAACATCAGCCAATCAAGCGGACCCCTCATCGAAGTCACACGAGTATTCACATATTTTGGAACTCGGCGCATACACAAGATGAGCCGCATTATTCGATGCCCTGTCCATTTTGGAGAAAATGGAAGACTTTGATGTGCGTCTTATCGTCATGAAAATACGGAAAAAGCTTATGTGCATTTGATGGGCTATAATTTGCGCCATCGCCATATTGTGCAACTGCAATTTATACATCTACGAAACAGAGACTTGCCCACTTGTGAAATCTTATGGCCGAAACCTGCACAATACAAATGCGCAGATCAGTTGATCCGGCTCAAACTCCCACCTCAATTGATTTGGTGCCTGATGTAATGGCGAAACAAAAGAAGCCAGTCCAAGCGAGGCCGGGGTGGAGCAGCGCTAGGCCATTCAGGAACCTGTAAGGAAAAGTGACTTTTGGCCGCTGGCCTCATGTGGCACCGAATCCTCAAATCTGGCCAAAAACTCCCTCACTAATAAACCATATACCAGGCCTCCTACAGGTTTCTTCAAGTTGAATGTACGACTATTTAAGACCACTGGAAAAAAAAAAAAAAAAATATCTTCACGCACCTAAGCTATGGTACAGTAATGAACCTAACCTGCCTGTTTTGGGGCTGTGAGGAGGTAACACATGCAATTGATTATTGCCCATGTACAGTTACCTCCTCAGGAATTTTCCTGGTCAAGAAAATCGATTTTATAATTGTCTTGCTCACACAAAAATAATTTTAGAATGTTACATAATGTGAAAGGCAAAAGAATGAGGTACATTGCCAATTTACTTCTGATCACAATATTAATTGTGATCAAGAGAGGGGTAACAGAGAGGAATAACACCTTAACACTTCCACTGTTAATTTACTGTTCGGTCAAGAGCACCCTTACCAATAAAAGTGCCTCATATGATTGGTTTTGAGGCTACATGTAAAAACATGCATCAAATAGGATGTTAGGACGCTTCAGAAGCCTCTGGAACAGCTTTTGAAGGCAAACAACCATCTGGATAATGGATCGCTGGACAGAATCATTTGCTCTGTGCGCTTAGCACCTATGCCTGGATAAAATATTCTGCTTGTATACAAGTAAACCAACATTATGCTGTACAAAACAATAAAGATGTCATTCTTCCCCCACAGAGTGAAATTGAGAGAAGGAGTGATGTTCCTCGGGGCCCGTCCCAGTAATCCCACACAGTGGATGGTAAGCCAGGATGTGAGGAGTGAAGGACACCGAGTGGTGACCATCCGTTGCCACAGGAAGGAGTCCAGCTTCGATCTGGAGAGGTTTGCACAAAAAAAAAAAATTACTTGACACACAAATGTTGGGATTGTTCATAATCAGCTAAAATGCAATATATTTATATCTTCTATCTGCTCGTTCTTGTTGACTTTCATTAATTTAGGCCTCTTGATCACAGTGCAACAGTGTTCTACAGTCTCATCTGGAAAAAATATACCTTAAAAGATTTTCTGATAACATTACAGTAATAGTACTATAGTAATAGTAGTATTACATTGCTTACTATTACTTCTCTCCTTGTTGTCTGTCATCTAGTTTTATATATATATATAGCTTAAAGACATTCAAGACTTTAAGGGGTCTTTATCATGCAAAATCAACTTTATTCAGCTTTTTAGCCATGTTAAAATGCAAATTCCTCGCCAAAAACACCCAGAAAGTTGTGTTTTCCCCCATTTACCCATCTCTGAGCATTCCTGCTAACTCCTGTTCTGTAAGCAACAGCACGCCCAGTTCAAGAAATTGATTGGGTCCTCGATCTTATACGTAAAAGACAGATTGAGGAGTAACCCTCGTACCACATCTACACACTAAATACACACCCGCTTTCTCGAGCAGCCAGAAGGACGCCCCGACGAGCGTGGCTTGAAATCCACTGGACCTCCTCTGCTCTGAAATGTTTCCACCTCGGTGCACTCACCTGTACATGCATATTCGATGAAGGAATGCTCCGAGCAGCCTCCCCTCCCCAGCTGGAACTCCGCTTTTTCAATTTTTTTTTCGATGTAAACACACGCCGGGGAGACAGCAGAATAGCAAGATGTCCGACAAGCATATCTTGGAAATGGGGGCCATGAGCGTTACCGGCCTCCCTGGCGACAGACTATTCAGCAGTTGTTTGTATGTGATCGTCATTTCTCTGAGGAATGTCTGGTGAACCTTGGCCAGTACAAAATTGGATTGGCTGGGAGCTTGAACCTTAAAACTGGTGCAATTACCACCATTAACGAGCTGTAAATAGATTAGCTAAATTATGATATAATACTATAACACATATGATATTAATGCACTAACTTTAGCTCTGTTCTCAAGCATGATGTGTCAGACGTATTTAGTTGTATAAAAAATCAAAACTTACTTGTTACCCACATCACCATGTGCATGGATGAATAGTACATCAATTCTGCGTAAAGATTTCCACTTGACTCTGGATCAAACAATATGTTCTTCCATCATTATTACTATTTACTGTGTCAGGGTGTGCACGGCGGCCGGTTTTAGGGCGAATTCATGAAAGGGACGTGGCAGCCACATGGTTAGAGCCGGGTTTTAGTCAGCCATAAGTCTTACTTCCGGGTTAGCCGGAAGTAAGGTATAATTCATATTTCACAAGAAATGAGGTCACTATTGTGTCAAATGTAATATATAATCATCTATATATTTTCCCATAGTCATCTGTGGAAAGCTTTAAATTGCATGATGAAGGCCCAATAAAATAATATTTATATTCCGCCGTTCGACCAAAGTCAGCTGGTATATCAGGATAAGGGGTGGAGAGAATGGATGGATGTACCTACAGTATACATCCACACAATGATTGATGGGTGCAATTCGAGGCAAGATGCAAGTCCTCTCACATCCACGCAGCTGACTTTGCAATGTTTATTACATTCTTTTCATCCCGTCATTTTTTTTTTTACGCGATCCGGACAGAAATACAGTATGTCTAATGAATGACTGACCACTAATTTGCATAAAAGACCAACATGACTCGTTGCTGTCTTCCTGACGTGTTAACAGGACTGACCACAAGGGAGGTGTTAAGGCGAAAATGGGCAATTACCCCAAATATTAAACACAGCTCAATTTCCATTGCACATTGTGTGCTTTTATTACTAGCACGCTGGATCAATAAATATAGGACACTTCAACCCCTATTTCTTGTCCCTGACTCACTTGCAGATGAGACAGGCTTGACCCCACAATATATCCTATTGGTCCATCTGTTGCAATCAGTGTTTTCATTGGGCTAGTGAAATTTTGTGTACCACCTCCACGCGAGGCGTCTTTATTTGTCCGAGGAACAGCAGGCTAGTAGTCTTTATGGATAAGAGGCACATTTAATGAGGGGTTAGCGAGCCCCATGCACTGTTACACTTGTAAAAGATTAAACTGACGTCATGTGAAAACCAAATCCTTTACACTTTGTATATGTCATCAAAGTTTTGCTGATGTGGTGAGTTATTCAAGTTCACTGTGCAGGGGATGCCATTTAATTGTGTAGGTCTCCTGAGGTGATTAAACATCCTGTGTGATGTGATTAGACATGCTGCATTGACCACAAATGATTAGAAAGCCACAGCAAATGACACCGACCAATATGCCACTGAATGATCCAGGCCTGGAACAAATTAGAAAGAAAAATAAGATTATGTAGACATGAGATCTATTCATTTACAACAAAGTGCAGCTTGAAGTGAGTGTGACTCAGCTTTATACCCATCTCAAACCTCAATTTATTGACGTGGAATGTTAATCGGGCGCACATTTCTTAACATTTTAGATTGAAGGTTCGATGGTTTCCATTTTTGATACGAGGGCTGGCTGTATTTGGGAGGAGCCTGGCCAACCCACGACTCCTTCTTGTCAGATGTGATTGAATTATCATTGACATAAATATCAACATGTTTTCACCTAAAGTGTCACATCCTCTCTATGCCATGCTAAATTTGTCACTTGGCTGTGATTTGTGTTCAGTTCATGGCCTCTATCCCATGTGGGTGTAATACAGCATGCCTGTGCGTGATAGCATAATATTGAGTGGAGCTGCAGCATTTTGAAGCACACAGCAAAAAGCCGTCAACAAACTGCAGAAGTGAGCAGCAACCACTTGGCACTCAGCCATTTTTAATCATTCGTAAGTTTATCGAGCTTATTCTCTGTGGTCAGAGTTTGGACCTCACCCACTCTGACCCACTGACCACGAATGCGCCTCATTGTGTCCTGCCATTATTTTTTCTTGATTGTGAAGAAGTCTTTTTCCAACCATTCAGGCCATTTACGGTGGACTACTCCTTCATCCCTACAGCTGTCAAAGTCACCGCAGAGAGAAGACCAAACCTGTCTCGTGATGGCTTTGCAAAGCACAATGCTTCACTTTCTTTCGTCTTTTCCTACTTGAGCCCGGTCTTTACAATGAAGCTCTCTTTGGAAGGGGATTAGGCACGGCTATCTCATCTGTCGAGCTGTCATCCCGCCGCTTTTCTTCCAATGGCTCCCTCCTTAAGGATGAAAGGATGACTGGCTGAGTGGAGGTAGTCTATTGTAGGTCAAACAAACGTGGTTATTTTATTGTGTGTCTTAACAAAGCGGTGACCGTGCGTATCCATCAACCAATAGCTCTGTGGCTTGTGTAACATTACGTACCACTGCAGTAAAATACAATGACAACTAGTAGAGAGATGTAATGCTTTGACCAATTCATCTTTGTGTTTCTATTGTCATAATTTGTGAAAGATATGAAAATAACCAATCAGTACAGTATTCCTTTCTTCCACTTGCTGTTGGGCAGTCAGCTGCAATCTTATGCTATTTCAAAGTTGGACCCAGACAGTGTAGTCTCTTAAGAACATAAAAGTGGCTTTTAAAATCCAGCTCAGAAAGAGATTCTAAATTGTTGTTGTTGTGTTTCACACTCCCCGCAGCGAAAGCACAAGCCCATTTACGGATTACCGTCCTAAACCGAACCGTGGCGAACTGGGCTGAGTTAAAATATGGTGAAAAGTAAACGAAACAGGCAGCGCAGTGAGGACTCCAAAGGGCAATAATAATAAACCAAAAATAATTAATAATAAATATGTTCTGAGCATTATTACTACGTTATTATTTCAATTACCGGTAATGTTTCTGAGTTGATGGTTGGTTATTTCATTAGCTGGCTTATTAGCAGGGGTGGCACACAACAAGCAACCCATCACCACTTGCACGTTTCGGCCACCTATGGTGCAGTACTCAAGTGCAGTACTCAAGCGAAACAGTATTCCATGTTGAGCATATCATGGAATGTTTGGCCTCTAAATTGCCATTTGACCTCAAAAGACAATGTCCGCTTACCTGTGCTTAACTTACAATCATCAAACAGCACGCCTCCGAGTGGGCAACTATTAGTGACTGAACTAATGACACCAACAAGCATATAATATGTGCCATCAGTAATGGTTCATTTGTTGTCTGACACAGACATGCACACACATGCACGCGCACATTAAGAGTATTCATACGCTCTGACAAGCCAAAATGATGTTGAATAATTGCTTAGGGGCAGCGAACAAGACCTTGGGTGTGTAGGTCATCCCTACCCTCCAAACGCCTACAACACTCCCCCTCCCCACCACCACCACCACCACCACCACGACACACACACACACACACACACACACACACACACACACACACACACACAAACCAAATGAACAGATGGGTCACTGTGTGTAGGTTCATTCAGTGACATATCCTCCTGACTAGTAGTTCAAATTTGTCCTCTATAGAGGACATTTGTAAACCTAAATATCTCCCACCCAGTGCATCCAATCGCATTAACTCCGTTTGTTACTCTCAAGAGGACATTCAGTGCTTTCCAATGATACTAAATTTGTAGGGGTTAGAAAAAGTAAGAAAATGGCTTCCCTCAGTGCAAGCACTTTTTATGGGAAGAGGAAAAGTAATACTTTTTATCAAACACATTTTGTCTTGAAATTCTGTTGGCATTTTATTTATAAGACTCTTATGAACACGTTAAAGTGTTGTTTGAGTTGTTTTAAGTGTATTTGAGCCTAGTATTCAAGTGTTTAAAAAATGTAGTGGAATTTCAAAAATTTCTTTTGGAGTAGTCCAATTACTTCACATAGATTGGGGAATTTCAAAATAAATGTGATTGGACAACATTTTTTTTCCTGGTAATCAGGAGGATAAAGCTGCTCTGCTGCCAGATTAACTAATTTGGTCATTCACAACTGATGTCTTGTTCTTGCTCAGGCTCAGTTAT